ACAGGAATATGAGCCTGACATACAGAACATGGTCAAAGAGTGATGAAGGTACATAATTAAACAGTAGACCGGCTGGTAGGTTTTTTAGAACAATATATGTCATTATATTTAATTGTTCAAATGGAAATAAAAGAGAACATCTTTGTATTACACCAGTGACATACATTTCATAATTTAGGACAAATCGCTTTCAGTAGAATTAATTTTGTTTGAGGTCACTTACCTAGAAGTTGTGCATGTATTCTTAAGACTAGATCAACTACCTTTATCTGTAGTCAGTGAACGAACCCAGACTCTTTCAAAGGGCAAGGATTCATTTAATTTTAATCAAAGCATTCAAATAATTCCTTATTCAGGAATAAGTCCCTTAAAGAGTACTTTAGCTTTGTGTTTGTCCTGGACTATTTCTCATGTAATTTCTAATGTTAATGCTTCAGTAGTTCTCCATGGAATGACTGGATAGTTTGACAGTTGAAACTTCTAAAGTCCACCTGCACTAGTCCTCCACACATTAAAACTACCAGTAGAGCAGAGCCAAAGTCATTACCAGTATAATATTTTTGGGGGTGGGCGACAGGGTCAGGAACAAAGAAATCAAGAGTAATCAAGCTCTGCTGAATTACTCCATTGACTTTGCATTATTTACAGAGAAGTGTTGTTAGTACAGAAGCCAGCTGTTTAACTATTGGAATTCTGTACCTTGGCCTGCTTTCAGGGGACTTCACAACAGTGTGACTAGACTTTGTATCTGCTTATAGCACATGGAAAGAAACAGTCACATATTTGGTACAGTAGATTAAATGAGAGCCAAAAATTCTATTAGGTAAACTTTGACCTACATGATATGAAACCTCTTCTGAGCTAGAAACTGACCAAAAAAAAGGAAAGAAACCTCCAAGGAAATCAGTGTACGTCAGCAAAAAGGAATGCCTAGGACTGTTATATATCCACAGGCAGTACATTGAAGATTGGGTAAATATAAGGAACTTTTTGATAACTGCTGAAAGGCAGCACTCAACTTGTGTCAGAAAGATAAGGAAAAAAATTATATGGGTGCCCAGTATACCAAAACAGCAGGATCGGTCAGTATTTTAAGGCAATAACATTTTAAAATGTTGTTTGTGTTAAAAATGCTTGAACGTTTGCCTACATCTAGGAGCATACCTTTGTACCTTGATGAACGGGGACCACCTGATCCTGCAGTCCATCTAGAGGAAGATGAGCCAAATACTGATAGTATCTGTAGAAGTGGTAGTAACTTCTGTAATTCTTTGTCTCATCTTTGTCTGTGATAGGATTTTTGTATATCACAGCACCTGAGAGGACAAAAGCGTTTCAAAAATCTGTTGGTTTAAAATTAATTTCAAAATAATAACTACTTCACAATACTAATGTTATTTTTTTATGAAGGATGAGCATTTCCTATGCCATGCAACACATGAATATTTAAGTCTATAAATAAATGTCAAGTTTCACTGCTGGCCACATCGGTGATGTGTTAGCGATTCCATTCCAAACTTGCTACATGTACCATGCAGGATTTTTAAGGAGCTATAAGACATGATATCCTCCTTCATAAAATTATTATTCTGCCAGAAAGACAAACAACTCATACATGTCTTTGGTCTGGCTGCAGTAAAAATAATTTTGAAGTAAACTGAGATTTTCACCTTAAAGATTCTAGGATTTGTTCTATTTATGCATATGATAATGCAGGAGAAATGTTACTACTGATTACTAAATAAAGCAGGCAATACTTCATGAATTATTCAAGTTATTTTGTCAACTTTATAACTAGTTAAATTCAGACACTGAAGGGTAAAATAAGGTCCACGTAATCACACAAAGTGTAGCTAGATGAGAAGAAACCTCAGAGATGACAGCTTCCAACTAGCAAAATATTTGTGTAAGTTCCTGTTTGACTTATTGGGAAGATACCATACACAAACAACTGACTGATGTTATTAAATGTTAGAGTACATGGCTCTAGTTTCTCTCCTTTATGTACCATCAATGAAAAATCAAATGTATTCCTGTTGAAATGACTGTTTACCAAAAGTCATAAATTTTGTACAAGAAATGACACTTATTAACTGGTAGAACACTATATAATTCATTACATGTCACTGTTTTATCTTATGTCTTGATTAAAAAAATTAAGAAAACATAATATTTTTGTAATTGAGATAAATTTAAAATAGCAAAACACAAACAATGCTGTATAAGTACACGCTCAACAGAGACAAATCGGAAGGAATTATTGATTGCTAAAGGAGCTGCAAGATTTTCCAAACATATCAACTGAACAATCAGTTCATCTCTAGATTTAGACATAGCAAAGCTAAATGCTAATAATATTTTTAAAAAAATAAAAATAGAGACCTTGCAAACTTTACATTTTGTTAGACTATTTCTTTTAGAACCCCTTCACAAGTCAATGTATCCCATAAAAAACACCACTATCAGTCATTACATGTTTATAGTCTTGCAACTCATAGAAGGAAAATTTTATCTATCAAGTTCTGTTAACTCATGGAAGCTCCTGGCCAACATATTTCACCTTATTGATTCAAAATTTAGTGATCTAGATGTAATATTATCTATCTAGCATGAATGTCATCAGGAGCTAACATTTGCAAGAGTGTTAGAAGTGCAAAATGTGACTAATCCTGAAATCTTCTGTTAGATTGATAGGATTTTTTTTTTTTTTTTAAATAGGTAACTTCTTTTCTAGTTAGAAAGGTCATGACAAGCCAGTTGAAACTAAACAATGAACTGTCTATCATTATTTTTACTATTGGCAGTAGCTAGGGAATCAACCAAATCTCTATGCTTGTTAGCTGCCTTGGAATATCATTTAAAGGAAAATTCTTGAACAGAAGATTTTAGAGTGTGTCTGCTTATGAAAAATTGGCAGGAGAAAAGAAAGGTAAGCCTAACTAATCAACTATTCGTACCTACAACTCAGCTCAATCTATTAAGAAGAGTTACACTTGCATATCCAGAAGATAATTTGCCTTTCCATGTTTCAATGGGAGCAAGACAAAATATGAAACAGCTCTGGGTGTTTTGTACAGCAATGACACTCCACATATTATCATGATTGTTAAATTTTAAAAATACTACACTAAGACAAGCTGGTTAACAGACTTCAGAAAAATCCCTAACAAAAAGCTTGTACTTTATATTATAACTCAGTGAGTAAAAAGCCTAAAAAAAACCCCACAAAATTCTTTTTCTTAATACATGTAATACTTTTCAGTGACACATAGAAAACAACACATACACATATAGACAAATCAAAATATTACTGTAACTACTCCTGGCTTGCTGTTCTTTTCAGTTGTATGAAACAAGTAATTCAGCAGGCAATGTACAGGATAGAGGCTCTCAGTGAATTACAATATACTAAGTAAGCATATTTTTCTTTTTGTTTAATTTATAGTCCCTGAGAAAAATAAGACATTTAAAAACCTATTGTCTGGGTTTATAAAGCTCACAGGGATAGTTAGTTCTTAGCTGACTGTATTGCTGGCTAAAATGTTAGACATACTATACCACTAGAGGTCTTTTTATTTACGGATGTACTAAGGACTCAAGGGTTCCTCCTCAGTGGACATGAGTTTTAATCACAGAGAACAGCAAAATGCGCTGTTGTCTTCATATTGACAGCTGCTGGACAAGTATATGGATATTAACCTAGAATTTGCTGTATAAGCATTGGAGGCAATTTCCCCAAAAGAAACTGAATTTTCATCTTTTTTGCTATCCTTATCCTTTTTCTAGCCTAAATAATTTCTTAAAATATAATCTCCTGCCAATCTTGGTGCAATTTTCTTCCCCCTCCCCAATATTTTTAGGTTCTTAACCAATGTGGATCATCCTGTAATTGGAAACATTTAATGCTGAAAAAGTCAAAGCAAAAACATTTTATCTTTTCAGAATTGCACTGTCTGAAACCAAATTATACCAGAATTTTAAAACAGATGTAGTAAGTAAACAACTTTTTTATTTTTTTTTGTGAATTTAGTGCTCCTTCATTTCCAGTTAATCATAACAGGGCAACTGCACATCCAAGTGGGTTGTATACAAACACATCCAGGAAATAATGAGTCTGTAGTCTATGCATAGTATGACAGAGAAATCAAGTTTCTAAAAAAATCATAAGTCATTGAAAAATAAAAAAAAAAGTGTAGAGTTCTATGAATGAAAATGTCACTCTACTGGAGCTGAGTGAAAAACGCAAAACATTTGCCCATCAAGTAGTCTCTACAAATGCCCCACACAAACACAAAACACAGGAAAGATCGTGTAATGTCAGTTCCATTTCCTATCTTGTGCAAAGCTTTAGAACACAAAATCTTCTGTTTTTATCTGTTCCATCAACCATCTTCCTATTTTTACTGCATTTCACTGGTTACTTTATTACCTTATTTCCTTCTTCCCACTCGTTTTTGACCTTACAGCCTGTACAAAGATATAATAAATAATGTATTTATTTCTCCTTTGGAATACACTCTGACTTCACATAGCGGCTCACTGTAGACTTTTTTATTAGAAAATACTTGCCTACAACAGAGGCATGATCTATAGTCTTTAAACACCAGCTGCCTCACACAGCTCAACAATCCGTTTTCTTCCAAAAAGGAAAGGTCAAATGTCCTTTACAAGGCTTCTAAATGCCAGATTTCAACTTTCTCCCTCTCCATTTTTAATGCCAGACAGTCTAAGAAAATGTTTTAATAATACTTTTCTAAGAAGATATAATTTTGCTCAAATGTTTAAATAGTAAATCCCTCAGAGAGAGTTCAAAGATGGCCATTTCCAGGAATATTTTTTGACGTTGTATCTGAGAACAGGTTCTTAGACTAAACGCACACAGGCAACCTCTACAACTGTCATTGGTGGTTCAGTTAAAATAATGCAACTTAATATGATTGCTTCTGAGATCTTTGCATTTTCTTTCTAACATAAAAACTTTCCATTTGTGTTTTGACTAGGTAAGCCTACAGGGTATGGATCCAGCAGTAGACGCTTACATCACAAGGGAATAGTGGATGAATGCTGCTTCCAGAGTTGTGACCTGAGGAGGCTGGAGATGTATTGTGCTCCAATAAAGCCACCTAAATCTGCACGCTCTGTACGTGCTCAGCGCCACACTGATATGCCAAAAGCACAAAAGGTAGGCCAGGCTGGAAAAAAAAAAATCATAAAAAAACTCCAAAATGCTACCTAATTTAGGGAAGGAAAATTCTATCAAGGCGACCAAAATAGCAAACAACTGATGTGCTCTGCCTAGTAGGGACACTGAGCTTTAGTAGAGTTTTGGAAAAGAGTTTCTGTGGTAAGAAATAAGTAGGAAATGATGTATTCTATCTCATCTCTAAGAACACCAAATAAAGCATGGAATTGCAAAGTTAGTAGTTGTGAGGCTTCATTCTACAACTGGATAGGAAATGACAAGTAGTCATATCATCCAATCATAAATTACACCTAAGACTTCTTTCAAGAGAGAAACCAAGCACTGAATGTTTTAACAAGCATATATCCAGAACCTCCTCACTCTTCTTTCCTTGTTAGAAAGAGGTAAGGCAAGCGATCAAGAGGGAAAACACAGCTCTTCTACTATTCATTACGATCATTACGTACTTAATTTTAACAATTTAATGTTTATCAGGTATATTCTCTAAGCAGTTCAAATATTCATTGATATTGATTGTAGAGTTGTGGGGTTCAGATATTCAGATTTTTGTTCCTGTCATACTAGATATACTGTATGTATATGTTGTTAAACCTATACATATCATAGAATCATAGATATAGATGCATGGTCCAACCTTTCTTCACAAAAGCACTGTTTAGACAAGATGGCCCAGCACTCTGTCCAGCTGAATCTTAAAAGCATTCAGTGTTGCAGACACTTTTGCTACCTGCATGCCCCAGTAGGAAGGATAAGGCCATTAATAGGGAACATACAGGCCAGACCTTCCATCCCATTCCAAAGTATATAGGAAAAATATGAGGTGGCTAACAAGTGGAGGAATTAATAGATCAATGTACTCACTCATGGTATATAACATAGCAAAGAAAGGAGTGAGCCAAGTCAGAAACCACGTCATGTAGGAAGGAGTAAACCAGGTCATCAGTTTAACTCCAAACATATAGTAATTGCCAAGAAAAAGCATCATTACATACATAATCCTGTTTTCTGTCCTGGTCCTGATATTACCCTCCCATCACTGGGAACTCTTACTTTTAGTGCACAGTCAGGGAGCCCTTTCAATAACCGGAAACCCCACATAATACATCCACTACATAAGTAAACAAGGGGAGCCAGTTTTTATATTATTAACTCCAGAGGCAGGACACCTGATGTTAATTCTAAGGGCAGGGCACCTGGTGGTGATCTCCAGATTGGGTTTCACCCAAGGTTGGCCAGGCCTTGAAAGAAAACCAGGAGAAAGTTCTCTCTTGGCTGGTTGTGGGCATCATCCACATGTTAACTGTGACTCAGGGCTTTAGACCCCAGCACTTCATGGACTCCACCACTTCTCTGAGGGGATTATTCCAGTAGCTGATAGCTCTTGCTGCGAAAAATATTCCTCTTGCTTTCAATCAGAATCTCCCCAGGACTAACTTGTAGCCCTTGGCCCATGCCTTTTACATGTGACTACTTGTAGAAAAGGAGTACATCTTCTTTGTAGCCATCCTTTAGATACTGGAACATGGTGATAAGGTCTCCCCTGAGTCTTTTCTTCTAAAGGCTGAACAAAACCATTTCTCTCAGCCTTTCCTCAAATTGCACACTTCCCAGTCCTTTGATCACCTTTGCAGCCTTTCTCTGGACCATCCCCAGCACGTTCACATCTTTTTTGTACAGCAGGGACTAAAGCTGAACACAGAATTCCAGATGAGTAAAGTGGGATAATGACTTCTTTATCTCTGCTGGTGGTGCCCTTGTTGAAGCAACCCAGCATCCTGTTGGCTTTCTTCGCTGAGCTTGTTCTCCACTGGGACTGCCACGTCCCATTCTGGGAAGAGAGCTGCTTTCCAGCCAGGTAGATCCCGGCCTGTGTTGCACTTCTGGATTATGTTTTCTAAGGTGCAAGACCGTACACTTGTCCTTCTTGAAAGTTCTTGTTAGCCCACTCTTCCAGCCTATCCAGGTCTTCCTTCAGGGTGGCTCTCCCTTCCAAAGTGTACACTTCCCCACTCAGTTTGGTATCATCACCAAACTTCATCAGGGTACACTTGGTCCCATCGTCCAGATAATTTCTGAAGCTATTCAACAGTGTTGGGCCCAGTTATGATCCCAGGGGGACCACAGTTATGACAGGCTGCCATTTTGAAAAAGAGCTATTTACCTCTGGGTACAGCCTATCAGCCAGTTTCCCACCCACCACACAGACCACTTATCCATACTGTAGCATATCAATTTCTGTAGGAGGGGGCTGTGGGGAACCATAATGAAAGCCTTGGAGAAACCCTGGTAGACAATGTCCACCTCTTGCCCTGCATCAGCTGAGCAGGCTGCTTTGTCACAGGAGGTGGTCAGCTTTGTCAAGCACAATCTTCCCTTGGTGAATCTGTTCTGGCTTTTTCTAATCATGTGTTTCTTTTGAATATGATAGCCCCTAGTGGGATTAATTCTGTAACTTTGCAAGGGATTGAAGACTGATAGGCCTATAATTTCCTGGATCCCCCTTTAAGCCTTTCTTGTAGATAGAGTGAGATTAACCATCTTCCAGTCTTCTCAAGCATTCCCTGATCTCCGTGACTCCTCAAGGATTATGGAGAGTGACCTTGCAACAACATCAGCTAGCTCTCATAACACCCTCAGGTGGATAACATCAGGGCCCATCAGTCTGTGGGGGTCAGACTCCTATAATAGTTTATATGCCAACTCTTCCTTCACTGATGGTGGATCTGCATTTGTGTTGACCTGGATTTTCATTACCAAGGCCTGGGGCCCAACAGTGCTGGTAAAGAGAGAGGTGAAGTATGTTTTGAAAACCTCTGCTTTTTCAGCATTGTTGGTGACTAATTCACCTCTCCTGTTTGACAGTGGCAAATATTTTCCTTCTGTTTCTGCTTGTAGTAGATCTCCAAAGAAACCTTTCTTCTAGTTTTTGACACCCCTGGACAATTTAAGTTTGTACTGAGCTTTTGTTTTTCTAACAGAACCTCTGCACACCCTGGCAATGCTTTTGTAATCCTCAACAGGTATTCATCCATTTGTCCACCTTTGGTATGCTTCTCTTTTGGTTTTGAGCCAACACAGAAGCTCTCATTTAAGCCAAGGAGCATCTCTTGCTCCACCTACTTCCCTTACTTTTAGAGAGGACGTACTGGTTTTGTGCTCCCAGGAAGAGCAGTCTTGAAAAACTCCCAGTGCTCACTATCTCCTTTATCCTTTATGGAAGCTTCCCACAGAATCCTTGTCAAAGGAGCTCTGAGTGAGATGAAGTTTGCTCTTCTAAAATCTAAAACCTTTGTCTTAGTACTAACCTTCAGGGTGCTCAGTAGGATCCCAAGCTCCACAATATTCTGATCACTGCAGCTAAAACTTTTCCTAACTGAGATACTGCAAAGCAAGTTTTCTTGGTTTGTGAGTAGCAAGTCTAACAGTTCCTTTTCAGATTTTACCTAATCTTCAAAATATAAATAAATACAAAGTGTGACTAAGAGAGAGAGGGAAGCATTAAGAAAACAGAAAAAGCATTGCATAATACATATCTCAGTAATCTTTCCAGGACTGGCAGGTTCTTTTTTTATTTGCTATCAACTGACAGATACACTTACAGGCCAAAATATGCACAATGCTGCTAACCCTGTTTTCTATTACAGCCATGCCACATTACCCAGCCAATGAGGGAACATTTTAAGTGTAACGGATAAAAGAACTTGGCCTCTCCATTTCAGAATATTATTTTCTCCTATTGCTTACTTTATAGCCTTATTATGTTACTGACCACACTGCCCACAGAACTAAAACGCTTTCAGAGACCCTGGAGAGTTCCTAGCTAAAATATCATGCCTGTTACTACAAACATTAGCCTTCCCATTTATTAACAATAAAGCAAGAGATCTTTTATTAATGCAAATAAGACATTTGAATGTCCATCCTAATAGTGTAAGAATGTTGCTGCAGTGTTTCCCAATACCTTTCCACTTTAGCTAAATGACCTTTACTATCACCGAGGTAGCTGTTATGTTAATGCTGCCTTGTCTCCAAAGTTCCATGCTTAAGGTGATAGGTTAGAATTCTGTGCTTCTCTGTTCATGAACTGACTTATGCAAAGCTAACATTTTGCACCTGTCTTCTTAAAATGCTTATTGTCTTTATCTGGATCTGAATATCAGCCCAGAGAATCTGATAATGAAACCAGCATCACAGATTAAACTTTTTTTTCATTACCTTTTTTTCAAACACTTGAAAAATTAGGCAAGCTTTTCTACACCTGTGCAAATGCAAGTCTGAAAGCCTGATTCAGGCATTCACACTGGTTCTTTTTTTTTCAATGGTCTCAACATCGCGTACTAGAAAAAATGTGTTATGTGGGTCGAAGCATTTGCTGACATACATGTTACTCCTACCACCACCAGTGTCACTTCTTGTCAGTAATGATAAATAATTTTTTCTTGTCAGTAACGATAAATAATAGTTTGTCTCCATGCTCTTACTTGTTGGTGGTATAATTAACTTAAAAATTACTAACACTGCTTGGGTTTTTTTATATTCTGAAAAATAATAATTCAACTCATATCCATGAGAACAAATCCAAACTCAGTGAAAATTAATAAGCTATATCTGAGCTCAAGTTTTGTGATCCTTTGCCAGATTCTGATTGGAAGCAAATGGAAAAGTTATATAAAGAATAGTATTTTATATAGGAAAACATTAAAAAAACTCACAAAACTCTTGTTATGCACCAAATAAGCTTCCATTTTCTTTCTTTTCAACAGAAAAGCAGGTAACATTTTCATTACTTTTTAAATTTTAGAAATTAAATTTCTTTTTTTCTAGGTCTTAAATTACAGATAATGCAGTAGTAGAGGTGTATACACATGCCTCTCAGGGAGGTTTTTTTTTATTTTTATTATAGAGACAATTTCATTTAACTAACAATTTTACTTCTGATGGGGATTATAAATATGGCAAGTCATTTAACAATTCTGCCTCTGGTCTGGTACAGAATGTGCAAAGATTTTGGCTCAGCTAGCACTTACTAGCATGGCAAATAAGGAAATAAAACGGAAAGATATATGCCACACTCATCACTGCTACTGGAAACTGGCCTGTGCATGAAGCAGTGAACTGAGGACATCATTGTTCATTCCAAGGGCCTCTTGATTTGCCTAGCACATCACTCTGTCTCTCTTTGAAAATACAAACTATTTGGCTGCAGCTCCTGGAGTGAACCCACACTTTTTATCGTCCTAAAGTCTTTATTCAACAAAAACATGACACAACTAATACAACAAATATGGATAACATAGTACCACTCAGCAATTTTGGAAACCTCTGACCACTGGGTACCAAAGCCCAGGAGACTCCATAAATACTGCAGTTACACCTCTAAAGTTCCCTGGCCACTATACATCCTGCTTTGGCAAATGTCCTTGTTCTAAATGAAAGAAAATCTTCGGTACCTACTGTATGTCTAAGCCCATCCAGGTTCCAGTATGCAGATGTTTCCTCTGCCAAGATCAACAATGACAGCAATCAAAGTGTTTATGCCTAGGATAACAAGGAATTTAGTGTACAGAAGTTTTGTGCAGTTAAGTTCTCTGTGAACTGGCGGAAGGGTTCTAACAATTCCAGCATTCAGGATAACTGTTCTCCCACTAGTATAAGTTTTGTAGTCACACCACATATTAAAACCTATATGGAATAATTATTTTTTCTACACCTTCAGGAAGTGCATTTGAAGAATACAAGTAGAGGGAATACAGGAAACAGAAACTACAGAATGTAAGAACATACCATCCACAAGAATGAAGAATGAATGTGCCATCTGCAGGATACTTTGCTGTAAATAAATTATTTGTTAAACATTGGAAGACAAAAAAAAAACAAACTATGGTTTAATAAGCTTGATGCAATCTCAACCAATGGGCATTCTCCCAATGAACAATGCAACTAAACATTCCAATATTAAGTCTTTAGAAAACAGAACATTTTAACCAGCCCAGAGCTAAAATATTCTGTAGTTGATATATTACTGTTTGTTAACCTGTTTTAAACGTCCTGCACAAAATCTCTTAAAGTCCTGTGCCCCTCAAAAGCCTACAAATTTATGGGCCTTTGATGGATCCAATTGCACTAAATTAACCTATGAACACTGGCTGCTGGAGTCATTCATCAGCCTTGTCTAAGTGGTGTTTTTTTTTATTTGCACTTCTATATAAGCAACAGGCTGTTTGTTTTACAGTGTGTGATAACACTGTTTGTCTACCCCTTCATATTTGCACAGTTTGACATTCCCAGTAACAGCAGCAGTAAGGTAACATATACAGTTTTAAATATCCATTAATTCCATCTGTGGCATTTTGACAGAATATGGGTTATAGATGCATTTGTTTTAAGACAGTTTTATTCTTCCTTCTCTTGCAAAGATGCAGTTTATTGCAATTTGTGAGACAAAAGATTTCTGAAAGCAGTTAAAGAGTAAATAGGTTCTCAAACCATTAATGATTCTTCCAGGTAATTATTTTGCAACAGTATAGGTAACTTCTTTCTTCCTCCATTTAATGCAGTATGTAAAATTTAGCATATCAATAATACACATATATCAAACAGTATGTAAAAATCTGTTTTATAGTACAACGGTGCTATTTTATAGTTTGTTATATGAAAGGGTCTGGCCAAGACAGTAATAGATAAAAGCAAATATGGAAAGATCAAGCCAAAGATGAAATAACAAAATGGTTTTTCTAAATATTCAGTTTAAATGAGCTAAAGTAGCTTCAGATTCCAGCATGGAAATAACTTTCTCATCTTCAAAAGAAAATTGAGCTACTTGTTTCCTTTTAGATGTCTGAATGGTGGCGTTTTTACTTAAAGTTACACGGAGCATAAAGTCATAGATTCCTAGGCCCAGAGAAGACAATTTGAAAAATAGCCCTCTAATGACTTCAAAGGGCACATCAGAGACTACAACCTTCTGAAATATCAGCATTCTGTAGAAATCTAACAGAGGTTTACTCAAGTTCTCTGCCACTTTAATTCTTCCTACAATTAGTCAGATGTGTCTAAAGTAACTGCTAATTAGGTTGCTGCACCTCTCTGTAAATCAGAAAAAAACTAATCTGATCTCCAAACTACAGTGTAGAAAGAGTCCTCAAAAATTTTGAGATAAACCAGAACATCCTTCAAACTGTTACTTAGAGTGGCCTTTCATGCACTCTTGTGGGACATACATTTCTGGATAATCTCTGCCATGTCATCTTGATACTGCTCTGATTCCACCTTGAATACCACTATGTCCTATGATCCATTTCTATAAATCAGCTCAGTGTGAGATCAGCCATATGGTACAGGGGGATAGATAGCCAACAGTGTTTCAAGGTGAGAAACAAACTTCTCTGGGTGAGAAGGGAAGGCGGGGGAGAATACAATGTTCCATTCAGTCCAGGATTGCAATTTAGTGCCACATGATTTCTTTGCCCTATCACACTACATGCAGTAAGCTTAGACAAGGGATGAAGTATCCTTTAGTCAGCCCCAAAGAGAGCATGAAGGATGGTGTATGAAGGTAGCAATTAAAGAGATGTTAGATTAGATCTGCAAATGAAGTATCTCATTTTCAAGGCTGAAATCTGACTTTCTACTACATCCATGGGAGTAGATTACTGAACTATTGATTAAAACACAAGAGAAGAATCTCTGCAGACTGCATATTGTACAGCTTCTCAACAGTTTCTTGTGAAACAGACAGGAAAGGCAGGTCAACAAATTATTATAGTTCCTTTTTTATTCCCACAGAAAATCTGGAGTTCATATTTTTTCCAGGGAAAGTACAAGGTATTCCTATGCAATTCCTTAAACCCCCTGCTGTCAGTGAGGTGCATGTTTACATGCACAATAGGCTGCCATCACTATGTAAAAGCAGAACAGTAAATGAATAAAAAGAATGTCACAGCTGTCACTATCTGAGACAGTCCTGTTGGAAAGGAAGAAAGTACAGAGAAACAGATGGGAAAATTAACCTAAATTATTTACCATTGATTCAATAAATAGGTAGCAATTCTGTTATCTATCACAGCTCTTACAGGCCTTTTTTTAGCAGAGGAAATGGAGAGGAAACTATTTTTCCTTCAGTGGCTGCTTAGAATTCTGAAATGCATTCTAAGAGTAAGCTATTATTTTGATGTCACAAACATACTACAGAGTTTCATTTCATGTCCCATGAAATCTTCTGTTCCCGGCCTCCTCTGAAGTTCTGAGGGGAGGAGGGAGGAAAAGGTGTGAGTGCAATAAGCAATTTGCAGATCTCTATGGTGGCAAGTTTCTTTATAGATAACATTTTACTGACACACTGTTAATATAACTGAAGAACCATACATCACTGTATTATTTAATTCCTGTAAATCAGTTCAAATTTTGGTCTTAGGATTCATGCAATAAGATTCATGCCACTATATTTCTCCTGTTGACAAATTATAATTAGAAAAAGTCACTCACAGACAGCAATATCTAACATCAGAATTTGAGAACTGTCTAAAAAATTTAGAACCATTCTTCAAAGAAACTACAATAAATGCTGAATGGCTACAAGCTTCAAAGGCAACACTCTGCTTTACTAGAGAAGAAATGATTTTACAAAATGCAGAGTAGCTCCACCACCACAGAGGTGAGAAATGCATGGATAGTAAATACATACTTGTATAAGAAATCTCCAAGTCATATGGCAGGGAACACATGATATACCCATCAGCATGAAAGACTAAGGGCTGCATTAGTTTAGTAATCTCAATAATTCTGCTACTTAAAGAAGCTGAAGCATGAGCCAAAACATCTCCCTCCCAAAGCGCAAACTAGTCTGACTTGAAAAACTTCTAATTAGAGAAACTAAAGGGTTCATATGGGTTTTCAGAAACACTCCAGATATTGAGGAACACAGCTTCCAATGCATGCCATTGGTTCTCATAAATCACTTAAATATTAAATAAAATCCCACTCCTTATCCTTCCATATCATGTAAATAACATGACAGAAGTCACAGATTTTTTCATTCCAGAATAGACATAAACCTTCAATTATTATGCAGACTGTCACTGAAGTGCAGAAGTTAAAAAGTTAATTAAGCTTCATTATTTTCAGTTACTTCAAAAAGGAGATCTGCAGATCTAAGCCAACAGAAGTTAGTATAACTCCTTCATCAAGGTAGCAAAATTTGAGCATCATCTCCATAGTGACAATAATTAAATGTTAAACAATTATATGTAAAATTAATAAATTCTATATTCTGCTCAAAATATACTTACAATCCTACACGTGCATTTCTGTGAAAGATTTGGATCATTTGTGCCATTCAGTTAAAAGAGAAAAGAAAATCAGACAATGGGATATTACATTCTGTTCCTGTAGGGAGATTAAAGTAGCCACCATTTGCCCTAGGCAGATTACAGTGTCAATTCCTTTTTTAAGATTAAAGGGTAAATCAGTGGTAGGCTTTCTTTACAAAAGTAAATTCAAAACACAACTAATAGCTGTGTTCAGTTGCCCCATGAGCTGGTTGTTGACATAGTGTCAGTGGTTAAAGTTGATTAATGAAGACTCCAATGCAAGAGCATAATAAGACAAGCTCATAAAAGTGTGTACATATTTGCTTTACCTGTTACTGATTTGGCCAACAATGCCAAAGTGGTGCTATTGTTTTGTTTAAGAAAGTACTTGACTAAAATATAAAAGAAAGCATAAATATTTTTTTAATGTATGAAAATGACAATTATATAGGTATGGTTATTAAAGTAGAAATAAAACTAGCCATAGCTTTTCAACTTTTTGTCACTCAGCAGCAGCAAAAAAATCTTAAATCAACAAAAATAGGGCAGGAATAAGAGTCAAAATGCTACCAAAAAATCATAGACTTGAAATGTGATTCTGAACCTTTACTCCAAGTCAGAAAATCAGTTAGAGTCAGGGAACAATGGCTACAACTAAAAGCCTGTTCAGCTTAATGTGAGTCCTATGTCCTACCAAAGACTTTTAAACCACACTCACTCAATGTAGACTTTGGCTGAAAGTCAGTGGCAAGATATAATCTAAGATTTTCATTAAACGAGTTTTTATTTTTACCTGATTACCTTCTCACTCATGGCATGCCCCCAAAAGTCAATATTCCTTAAAATAAAAGCACAGAGAAATGTACCTGATTTTAATAAGAGATGGAAAAAACCCAATATTCCTAACATGAAAATGATGCTGGTTTTAATTCTTGTGATTTTCAAATTGTGAGAAAAAGTTGAAATATATGGCTAACAGTCTGTGAATTTTTTTCTTACTTTATGTGGTCACTATGAACATCCTAATGTGCAAAATTTCACATTTCATTGTTTTGTTTTGAAATGATCGTAAGTTAAGCCCAAATAGAGATTCTTGGAACCTATAGGCTAGATAGAATACTTATGTTCTGATAAAGATATAATCAATATATTTAAAATGTTTTATTTTTAGTCTGAAAAGGAATAGTACTAATTTATTTGGGGACTCAACCTATAATGGTCCCTCTTTTAAGGATACTGTTCAGTGCAAACAAGTCTTCCAAACACCAAACTTCTATTCAAAGCAAACATTCATTCCTCCCTCCCTGTCCCTCCAGAAAACATAGTTAAAACAGTATTACAACATAATTCTATTGTTTGCCTGTTTGTATTGGTGGGGAGTGTTTTGTTTTAATTCACTTTGTTTTGATATGGGGGGAGGGGTAAGGAGGAGGAGATGAAGCTTTCGGATGATTGAGATTTTTTTACTCTTGGGTACAATCCAGCAAAAATAAAGAATTTGCCTTGATGAGATCACTAATTATCCAGTTCATGTGTAGAAGTAGCATTAAGCAAAGCAACTAAAGTTGTCTTGAAAGAAGTTAAAAAAGTGATTATCAAAGTTTTTACTCGTTCTAATCCTGTGCTATACATTTTGCTTCTTACAGCATTGGAATATACTACTGGACTATAACTGTCCAAACACACAGTATCTGATATATATAAATCTTATTTGATTTTTTACATGAAGGGTGTTACGGGCATATCTGGAACTTGATTACATGTAGTACAGAATAGAGATACCAGCCTAGCAGAGACCAAAACAAGGACTTCCCTGATGCTTACGTTAGGAA